TCTACTCGAACCTGCACTAGTAAGACTCTGAGGACAGGTATATCTATACATGTGGTTTTCATAAAATTCCTGTAATGTAAATGCACAACACATATATATACGGTGAATTATAAAATAGAGGTTATGTATCGGGGCTTGCCTCGGGCAGGCGCGGTGTTAGCTGAGTCAGTCAGTGGCGGCTCTGGGTCCTCCTCCTATATGAGAATCTCCTCCTCGTACTCCTTGATGATCTCCTCAAACTCGTGATCGCCGGTGGTCACGATCTCCGCCAACTCGTTCTCTATATGCATGCGATGATGGTGCAACACATAGCATTTAGGCAGCAACAACTCTTAAAATAAGAATACGCATACTAAGCTACTAAGATAGCTCTAATGACTAAGATACTAAGCTAACTATCATTTTTATCAAGCAAAGTGTTTGGTTCAACTAACAAACTGTTAGCTTGGCAATTTAAGGATATATCTTTATTTCTACTAGTGATTTAATATATATATATTGAAACAAAGAGCATTTAACTACCCTAATGCTTTGTCTATTCTAAAGCTACAAAAATTATAGTGAGCACATAATAATACAATGAAACTACTGTAAAAATTTCAGAATCAAAACTATCATCAATTCACCACAAAAAATCATACAATAATTAACTTAATATTATTAAGCATTCTCAAATGATTTAATAGCTCCTAATGTCAACACATATAAACATAAATTAAATACACCAACAGATAGAGCATAATTTTAGAAACCTAACAAAATTTGTTTCATAATTTTTGAACACCTATATGATTTTATATTAATTATTAAAGATTAGCTCAGAAATTAAATTAGAAAACTATTTCTAATTCCTTATGAAAATGAAAAGTGAATCTCCCGCGCGGCCCAAGCGAGGCCGGCCCGCTCGCGAGGCGGCCCATGCCGGGAGAGTCCCGCGCGCGTTAGCGCTTTTGCAAAAGAGACCTCGCACTTCTCCCAAATCACAACTAAGTACTAACACTATTTTCCCCTCTCTCAGACATTCTCACTTAAACCCCCGTCCTTTCCCTAATTCACCCGCGCGCACCCCCGGTGGCTCAGTGCACTTCGGCGTGGCAGACAACGACATAGCACGACCGCGTCGGCCACCAGAGGCTCGCGTTGGCCCATCGGTCGGGTTGACCTTCGACTACGGTCCAACCGCCTACACCAAGCAGCAACGCGAGGCGGCGAGACGTGTTGGAGCGAGCTACAGCGACGCGCAGCTGTCCGTGATGGTGGCGCGGCTGCCCCGATGAACTCGAGCACCTAAGAACCTAACTGGCTAGCAAGGGAGCATCAGTAGACTACTATGGACCTAGCCGAGGTGACGGTTGGGGTGGAGGATGGCGAAGGAGGTGTGGCCACGTGCGGCCGAGCCATGCGGCGGAGTACCGTGGTGGCGTGGTCTCGTCAACGGCAATGGGGAGGCGGTAGCGGTTCCACTATCGTATGCAAGGTGGAGAGGGAGGTAAGGCGAAGCTAGTGGTGCAGGTGAATTGGCTTGGGAGGGACGGTAGGAGGGCTGCCCTCGTCCACGGTCGAACATGGCCTTATTGGCATGGCGGCAGGAAAAGTGTCAAATTGGAGCTTGGTAGTGCCTTCTTCATGGCTGGGTCAAGTCGGGTAGTGAGAGAACTTGATGGTGAAGCCGCAGACATGCTGAGTTAAATGGAAGTGTTCACTCGGTGGCCAATTGGATGGCGCGGCTCGACAGCGGCAACAGAGAGAGAGAGAGAGATGAGGTGGCAAGTGGGCTCATCTCGGTCTCGCCTTGGTGGGATGTGGCCGACGTGATCTAGGTCCGACGCGCGCGCAGATGCAACGGACAAGCACGTGCGTCCACGACCGGCATGGCCCGTGTGGCCGCAGTGCCATAAATGACAAGGTGACGGTGAGCTCAACCAAGTGCGCCAGCAGTGGCAGCATCGAACTGGGCGGCAGCGGCGCAGAGGTGTAGAGGGAGGCGCAGACATGACGGCGAGGCGATGGCACCTGCAGCAGCTGCATCATGGCATAGGGCAGTGCGGCAACGCGGCGAGGCAGGCTGCAGCGTCGCCCGGCCATGCAAGCAGCGGCGGTGGCTCCACGCGGCAGAGGCAGTGGTGGCCAGGCCAGGGCAGTCATAGCTAGACACGCATGACAGCGCGCGTACGCACACAGAGCGAGTAGGCATGGCGACGTCGCACCCCCAAGACGTGGTGACCGCGCTCACCTAGTGAACTAGCATGAAATCACGTCTTGCACGAGCTTGAAAGCGCCTATAAAAACTAAACGGTTGCTCTAGAAGCTAAACCATCTTCACCATGCTCTAGAGGGGATATGAGGCTACCAACCCGAGCTAAAACACGACACCACCTCCTAACTCAATTTCACAAAATAAATCGCCAAACATTGCATTGTCTAGCTGTCAACATACTTGAAAATATTCCAAATTTTTGAGCCGAACTTGATTCCAAATTGCATTTCTAGGCTATTAGAAATGTTGGGTAGCACTGTTATTTTTCTACGGCAAGTATTTCATTATCATCTACAAAGTTCATATTCCAAACTTTATTTAGCGCCACATATATGTTCTATAGCATTTTTGTTCAATAAAAATTAATTTTAAACCCTAATTGATACATATGAGTTATGAAATATCTTATTATTTAATATTTTTATTGATCATCTGAAGTTACAAAAATGTTATCTACACATTTCATCGCATACATTATCACATAAACATGATGCTCATGACATGATTTAGTAGTTTGTTTAGGGCGTAAGACCGAGGGTGTTACAGCACCGCCCATGGGGTGGCGGTGCCACCAGACAAGGTGGCGGTGCCCCACCTAAGCACCTCCTTCTCGGCCTCTCCAGTCAGTCACCGCCACTGGAGTGGCGGTGCACCAGACAGGGCATGGCAGTGCCCTTGGGGCAGCACCACAAGCCCAGCTACGCTTCCTTTTCTTCACCTTTTTTACCACCTTTGTAAATGTGCTAACACTCCAAGTGTTTTACCATCACGTGCAAGTGTGTTAGCGTTTTCACAATCATTTTTCAAAGGTTAATCACTTTCTCACCGATTGTGCACTAGACCTAAAATGCATATGCAAGTTTTCCAACACCTAGTGGCACTAGATGATTGAGTTGTCCAATAAGAGCTCCTCTCTTAATAGCACGACCATCTATCCTAAATGTGATCACACTCTCTATAGTGTCTTGATCACCGAAAACAAAATGACCCTATAATTATACCTTTGCCTTGAGCCCGTTTTGTTTTTGTTTTTCTTCTTTTCCAAGTCCAGAGCTTGATCATTACCATGGACTCCACCGTCACCATGATCTTCTCCATTTGCTCCATTACTTGCAATGTGCTACCTATCTCATAATCACTAGAGTAATAGGTTATCACTTTAGGGTTTCATCAATTCACCAAAACCAAACTAAAGCTTTCACCTATGCATGTGCCTCCTAGGTTCTCCCTCACCAGGTCAACATCCTTTAGTGCGCAGAGGCGTCATTCCCACAGGTTGATAAGCCCATGGAAGAAATAGTGATATACTTCATGGCTAGCTAGCATTGATATTTATGGTTTCAGCAATCAATACCATATCACTGGAGAGGTATATGAGTCTAGTTTCCTGCGCAACAATCGGTGCATCTTTTTGACTTCTGATCTAGGAATTATGACTATGCTAGTGGAAGTTGTTAAGGTTGTTTTGTGACTGTGGGAGAAATTTATCCACAAAGATGATCTTTTGCCTGCTTTTACTTATGCTTATTTTACACCCAATTAACAGTATGTTCCTAGTATAAATAATCCATGTCCATCATCTGAGAGAGTTGATATTGATATGATATGAGAATTGAGCATGACTCTTCTTTGAGAAACCCATAGAGAAAGCTCTGGTGCTAGTTGATCTTGTCGAGTGATCTCCGAGTGATTTTAGTTTTATCCAACCCACCACCACATACCTTTTTGTGAGTCAATACTTATTATTTGGTAATCAGAGCTTAAGGTTATGGCTAGTCGTCTAGCGAACTCCGGTAGCAACAACATCAAGAGCATGATCCTCAAAGCTTTCCAGGTAGCAAAAGCCATCTCCATGTGAGTAGGTTTCCTTAGGGACTAAAATACAATGAAAATACAGTTTTCCTAGGGGTTTTATGACTTCCCCTATGAATTTGAACCCTAGGGAAACTTGTGAATTCCAGTAGTGAAGGTTTGGGAGAATAACTTCGCCAAATTCAAGAACACCTAGAGCATCTTGAAGCCGCTAGCCACGAACCACATCGTCAAGAAGGTGCTGGTCATGAGAGAGCTCACCGCCATGCACATCGACAAGTCTAAAAGAACTCAGCAATGAAGACGGAAGTGGTTTTAATCCTTTTGCTGATCCTACGATCATTCTAATTCTAGTGAAGAGGATATTTGTTCTCAAATTTGTGTTTGTAAACATCGAAACAACTTTCACTATGTGTTATCTTCCTGAATTTGAGGGGAAGTTTGATCCTGATAATTTATTGAATGGCTAAACACATGAACTTGAGGACAAGTTTGATCCTAATGGATTTATTTAATTGCTTAACACCACGGAGCATGTTTTTGCTTATAAGGACACTTCTATTTGGTGGAAACAACTCCAATGCTATCGTGCTCAGCTAGGGGAAAGGCGCATTAGACCATGGGACAACTCCAATGCTATCGTGCTCAGCTAGGGAAAAGGCGCATAGAACATAGAAGAAGAGAAGGGAGTTGTTCAAGAAGTTCTTACCCAAAAACTCTCTCCAAGATGCCTACAACTTACAATCCATGATTACTTACTCAGACTCCCAAGCAAAGAAGCACAACGATAATATATTGAAGAAAAGATTCGAATACCAGTGACTAATTAACAGTTGTCGCATAAACTGTTAAAATTCAAAGTTACTACTACAGAAAAGAGACGCGTCAGCACGATAGCCCCACCGAAACTTCTGGCAAGTAGTACTACTGCCTATAGGATAGCACATTTGCTGCCCTGGCTCTGCGCCATCCTCCGGAACTCCTCGTTTTCCATTTGAGCCTTCTTGAGGCTCTCCTTGAGCTTCTGGATCTCCGCTTCTGATTTCAGCCTAGCATCATACGCCACCTTCTCAGCTTCCAGCCTTGCGATCTGTTCTTCCATGAGTTGCTGTTGCAGCTTCTCCACAGTGCAGTTTAACTTTTCCTCGACCTATATATGAATATATGCCCAAGTCAATGTAACTTTTAGATAAATCAACTTGTAAGAACAAAACATTCCCAAAACATCCATTTGTTATGATTTCACTTAAACAAATTTGACATGCTAAATAGTACTGATTTGTAAGTCTCACGTGCTAAATAGTAATTCTAATGATAAAATTGCTGCAGACTGGACCAGTAATTCTAATGAAAAATCTTAAGATCACAAGTTCTATAGATTCTTATTAAATAAGGGGCTTATAGATTAAGCAATAACTGTCTTTCAAAAAAAAATCGACCTGCGGGGGGTTATGACGGCCCCCGGGTTTTCCGTTAAGAAGAAGATCTTCTCACACAGATCGAGAAAACCCCCGAACCCCCGCCCCTATCCTGACGCAGGAGGTGCCGTAACCCTGTGAGAACTGGGCCGGAGCCTTCCACTGCGCTTTGGCACATGGGGAGCGGGCGAGGGGATTTTTTTAACCTCAGCCTGAAATCCGCTCCCACGGGGAGTCGAACCCAGGACCTGAGGAGTGCCGCTGGGTCACCTAACCGATTGAGCTAGGCGCCCTTTGGCAATAACTGTCTTTCAGCAAAACAAGTTTCATGATAGTTCAATACAATAATGTTGTGCTCAAGAATGTCTGACAGCCAACCCTTGCCCAAACAGATCTTGTGGTCCTAGAAATTTACACGTGTTGCAATATCTTAGATGGCACAGATGCATTTGAGTATTTAACTTAATTCCGGTAAAATAGCATCCCCAGAGCATGATTGATTACGACTAAAGAGGTGTTGCTTTGCAACACGTTCATTCTAGATAGATCCTAAAATTCCAAATGTGTTTTTTAATAGGATAAGCTCTTACCATGCTGGTTATGTGTGCAAGCTGTTCATCCCTAGTTCTATGAATCTCCTTCCTCAACTCAGATATCTGCTCTTCTGAATACCCCAAGGTATGCACCTCTTTTTCTCTATCATGCACCTCCTACACAAGACGAGACAAATAGTAAGAACTAAAATTCAAAACTTGAATATCAACAAATTTATCATTTACCTTGATGCGAGTGAACATTTGATCTGAAAATGGTTTTCCTCCATTGTTTGCACAAACTGAGTCCACTACATCAAGCAATTTGTCAAGTTGCTGCGCTCGGAGCCTTCGGTCATTGGTCATGTTATCGAAGACGACAACTCTGTTTTGGCATAGCTCAACAACATTCTGTATTCAAAATAACCATATATATTAACTTGACTAAAGGCCGTAAGACTAAATGATGTAAGAGAGGCGAGATGTCAATCTATTAAGGCAGCAAAATAACCTGCAAATACTCTGGCGCATTATTTAGCATGTTCTTCAACTTAGATTCACCAACTAGATCTCCATAAGTAAAAACTACAATCATGTGGTCCACAATCTTTTCCCCAAAGAAGACCTTAATGGTCTCAATTGTACTTGCATCCTCTCGAGAAAACCGAGATGTGGCAGAAAAAACCATCAGAACTGCATGTATCCCATCTTTAGCCATGTTCATACATTTAACAATCTCTTTACCAGCATCATCACATGTAATGCTCATATCAAATAACCCTATAGGAAGTTTAAGTTAGTAACTAGCTCAAAATAACAAACTTGAACAACATTGCAAGAAAAGAACCGGTGGCTATGAATACCTTTTAAATATAAATCAGGGACCATCAGAAGGAGCATTTTCTAAGTATTCTAGGCTTTAAAAAAAGGTGTCATGTTATGCACAATTTTCATATTTCACAACTCACTATAATGCATAAAAGTTATTTTTACCTCTTGAACAAATAAAAAATGCAGTGTGAATATATCATAAAAACAAAGGACATAAAAACAAAGGAAAAAGTCTACTTAACCCCCCACCTTTCATACTTGGTCTACTTCACCCCCCTAACTATGAAACCGTCTGTTTTACCCCCTGAACTTTCTAAAACCGTCTATTTTACCCCCTGGGCGGTTTTCAACGGAGGTCGCTACAGTAACAGCGGGGTTGCTACAGTAGCGTTGGTTTTGAATTTCCTTTTTTTTATTTTCGGTGAATTTTTGAAAAATCATAGTAAATCATAAAATGAAAAATCTAATTTTATTGGACTCCACATGAGTAGATCTACACAGTGAATATATAATACGGTATGCTTTAGTACAAATTTTTTTGTAGCGTTAGATTAATTGGGAAACCACTGTTACTGTAGCAACCCGTTGTTTCATAGTTTGGGGGTGAAGTAGACAAGTATGAAAGGTGGGGGGTTAAGTAGACTTTTTCCTTAAAAACAAAGGATAACTAGTATGCTTCAACAAGCAACTGGGAAACACCTGTGAAACCTTCTCGTTCATGAAGTATTTTAAGTATGGGACTTTTCATACTTTTTTCGCGAACACAACTGAGCACATATTTTGTTAAAGAGCAAGTGCGACTGCACGCGCACCCGAATCCAGAAGTGGCTCAGGCGGTCAACAGTTTTTACTTTTTAATACACAAAAACAACCGAAAAGCGACCTGGACCTAGAATTTTCATATTATATAGTAAAAACTTCATTTGCCAAGATGAAAAGTACCTCCAAAGAATGAAAATCCCTTCATAACAGTGGCACTTCTTCATATGGTAATAGCAAGCATCAAGTTTTATCAATATAAAAAGTTAACTTCAGTGAGTAAACTACTTCATGTAAACATTGCACTATACACCACCATGCTAAACGTGAGGGTAGCAGGTCGCTTCTCCACTCAGTTTGAATGGATAAATAAAGTAACAAACCATGGGTCCTATAGCAAACATCATAATAACAATGATACTAAGCAACAAACCAGAGAAAAAAGACAGGTAAGGATGAAATGTGGCACAAGATCAGATCTAGGCATCACAAATTTATAACACCAAAAAGACCGACAGATTGAACAGATAGAAATAACATTAAAAATGGAAGTCTTACCTGGTGTATCAATAACATTGATGGTGCGGCCGTCCTTCAGGGTAGTGCTTCCCAACTGACAAGTATTAGTAACACTGGCATGTGAATATTCTGATACAAATGCTTCCCGTCCAAGGATGCTATTTCCAGTTGCACTCTTGCCATAGCCAAGTTTCCCAACAAGAACAAGAGTGATATCGGCACTGGGCAACACCCACTCATCATCGTACTGGCTTCCACCCATTACAAGTGGTGATGACAATGCTTTACAAGAACTGTTCAGGTAATCAGGACATTAGGACTTCACTAAGGTACCAATTATCTTAAATGACTGACCACATTCAAGTTATGTAACAAAACTAGCAAATGAACTGATGAAAGAGAAGTCCATGCACATCAAATCTAGTTAAAAAAGTATAGTCACAGTATAAGCTGCATAGACGCTTTTCAGTCAAACTTTCTAAAATGATTAACCAGTGGCCAAATTCATTGTTTTAAGTTTAAATTAAGAAAGGTCAGGTTAAATTATCTTTCTGAATGCAAAGGTTCAATAGAATTGTTATGAAAAAAATCATGTTATCTCAGTAAAAAAAACGCTTAGCTCAAAAGTCCTGTGTAACATGAAAATAAAAGATAAGACTCAAAATCCCCAATCTTTTTATTTCCATTTGTCATTGTTAACTGGTAAGATTTATAAAAAAATCATGGCATGTCAGAAGGCAGATATAATGGATGAATCATTTTTTTTACAAGTTAAAAGTGCAAGAAAAAGTGGAATGACCATACTACCGATGAATGCCAACAGTTCAAATCTACATATTTTGACCATATACGGTCACTAAAGAATATTATATGCAACAGGGCAGGATAAGGCCAAAGTTAGCCTAGAATATTTTGACCAGAAGGCTGGAACAAGTTGTCATGTGTGGGCAGGTGTATGCTGCGGTAGCGCCGCGCCATGACATCGGTAGGCGGCCCAATACACGTCCCAAAGCAGAACGCCTTTCTTTGGTGGCCGATCAGCCAGTCATGGCTAGGAGGCCTTAGTTGGAAAGTTATCGATTTAGTTCCTTATTATTAGCATCTATTTGTTACCTTAAGATTAGGAGTTTGTTTTCCTTTTGTGGCAGCCGCAAGGCTATATATGTATGGGAACCGGACTTGAAGGAATTAAGCAAGATTATTATCCTATCTTCCATCTAATCTCAAGCTGCGGTGAGGGCATAACCTCACCGGAGAAGGCGGCCGAGGGCTCTGAGCTTAGTGGCGAGGCCTGTCTGTCGAGGGTTCGACGCCCTTGACAGCTTACGTATCGGTGGTCACCGCTCATCCTCTTCGCGTTCACCGTCCGCCCGCCCAAATTTATCCCACCCGCCGCCCATCCCCAACCCGCCCCCACACCGGTCGATTCACGCCCATGGTCGAGCCTACATCGACCGATCTCTTCAACGAGATGAAGAAGGTGTCCGCCAAGATCTCCACCGGAGGCCGATGTCGCCTCGCTCAAGGAGAAAGCGCCCACGGTGAGAGCTCGACACCCGTCGCGCCGACAATCGGCAAGGCTCTCGAGTTCCATCCGAAGCTGTGAAGTGGGATTTTCCCCACTATGATGGCACGTCCGACCCCATGCCGTTCCTCCACAAGTGCGGGCGTGCTTCCCAAACATCTCACCATGCCGGGAGGCGGCGTCGCATGGCGGCCTACCACTTGACGACGCCGCATACCGTGGTTCATCCAAATTGCAGAGAGAGGACGAAAACGCACGCCCGTCATGGGGGAATTTCAAGGATCTCCTGGACCTGCGCTTCGGTCCCCCCCTGCGCTCGGCCCCTATGTTCGAGTTGGCGCAGTGCCGCCGCTCCGGCGCCGTGGAAGAGTATGCCAACCGGTTCCAGGCCCTGATCCCTCGCGCGGGCCGGCTCGACGAGGCGCAGCGAGTCCAACTCTTCACCGGCGGCCCGGGACCTCCGCTCGACAACGCCGTCGCATCCACCATCCGGACACCCTCGTCGCCGCTTCTCGCCTCGCCCGCCAGGTCGAGTTGATGGAGCTGGACCGCCCGGCGCTTCCTCCTCCGAGAGCAGGCGCGCGCGGGCCACCACCGCCTCCACCGGCCGCGGCCAGAGCCGTCCTGCCGGGGCCGCCGCCCTCTCGGCCCTTCTGCTGCACCGCGGCGGCTGCTCGGCCGTAACGGCCGACCGAGGGCTCCAGTAAAGTCTTCGCAGAGGAGGAGATGGCGAACGCCGTCGCCTTTGGTTTGTGCTTCAAGCGCAATGAGAGGTACACCCGGGGCCATAACCGCTTCTGCAGGCGCATCTTCTTCGTCGAAGGGGTCGAACTGGAGGCCGAGAGCGAGGACGCCGCCGTCGTGGACAACGCCGAGGCGCCCTGTTTCTCCTGCGCGCCGGCCGGGTGCTGCGATGGCGGGCACCATGCGGATCGCGGTCGGCTGGGGGCCCCGAGGCTCGTGGCTCTCCTCGATTCGGCAAAGACGCGCAACTACTCATCATGGAAGACGCAGCGAGGCGCTCCGGCCGCTTTTCTCCACCAGCGCTTCGCCTTACGGCGGCTGGTCGCCAACGGGCGCGCCAGCGTCTTGCTGGCGTCCTCCGCGCCAGCGCCCCTTTCGTCGGCGGCGAAGTCGTTCCCGGCCGACCTCTTCGTCATGCCGTTGGCGAAACGACATCGTCCTCGGCACCTGCCCAGCTCGGCGGCGCTCGGGGCGTCGTCGTGGGACCTCGGCCGCCAATACCGCTGACGTTTGGCGCCAAGGGGCGCACCTTCTCCTGGACCAGCGTCGCCCCACGTCGTCTCCCGACGATCACGCCGACGACACTCGACACCGACTCCTCCCCTCGGGCGCTTTGCTGCCGCGATCGGGGTTTCGCCGACCCGACCGGTTCGCTTCGCGCGCGCGACGACGACCGTCGCATCATGCTCAAGCCGGACGCTGCGCGGCGGTGGGTCGTCCGACCTTACGGTACCCGCGGCCCACAAGGATGAACTGAACGCCGATGCGCCACCATGATGGAGCGAGGCATCGTCCGCCGGAAGCGACTCCCGTTCTCGTCGCCCGTCCTCCTCGTCAAAGAAACCGGACGGGTCGTGGCGTTCTGCGTCGACTACAGGGCATTGAACGCGGCGGGCGATCAAGATGCTTTTCCCATCCACAGCAGTCGACGAGCTCCTCGACGAAGCTCCACGGGGCTCGATTCTTCACCAAAATTTGGACTGCGCTCGGGCTATCACCAAGTCCGCGCATCGCCACGAGACATCCACAAGACAGCGTTCGCGCCATGACGGCTTATGCGAGTTTACGGTCATGGCGTTCGCCTGTGTAACGCCCGGCGACCTTTCAAGCCCCGATGAATGATGTGCTCCGGCCGTTCCTCCTCGCCGCTTCGTTCGGTATTTTTGGCGATATTTTGATCTGACCGCGACGTGTAGGCGGACCATCTGCGACACCTCCGGACCGTCCTCGATACACTCCGCCGCCACCAGTTGTTCGTCAAGCGGTCCAAGTGCTCCTTCGGGGCGCCCAGCGTTGCCTACCTAGGCCACATCATCTCGGCGGCTGGGGTGGCCATGGACCCGGCGAAGGTCCAGGCGATCGTCGACTGGCCCGCTCCTCGCTCCCCCCGGGCGGTGCGCGGCTTCCTCGGCCTCGCCGGATACTACCGCAAGTTCGTCCACAATTATGGGACGATTGCGGCACCGCTGACGGGCCTGCTCAAGAAGGAGGGATTCTCGTGGGACGCCTCCACTGCAGCGGCGTTCGCGGCTCTCAAGGCCGCTGTGACGACGGCGCCCGTGCTCGCCATGCCCGACTTCGACAAGCTCTTCATCGTCGAGTGCGACGCCTCGACGTCCGGGTTCGGCGCCGTGCTGGTCCAGGAGGGTCACCCCGTCGCGTTCTTCAGCCGGCCGGTGGCGCCCCGCCACTCCTCGCTCGCCGCGTACGAGCGCGAACTGATCGGGCTGGTCCAGGCAGTCCGGCACTGGCGACCGTACCTTTGGGGGCGCCGCTTCATAGTCAAGACCGATCACTACAGCCTCAAGTACCTCCTCGACCAGCGCCTCGCTACGATCCCACAGCATCATTGGGTCGGCAAGCTCCTCGGGTTTGATTTTTCGGTGGAGTACCGGTCCGGCGCCACGAACGTCGTCGCCGACGCGCTCTCGCGGCGAGATCAGGAGGACGGGTCGCTGTTGGCCATCTCCGCGCCTCGTTTTGACTTCGTCAACCGCCTCCGTCACGCCCAGGCCACGGATCCGGCTTTGGTCGCCATGCACGACGAGCTGCGGTCGGGTGCCCGTTCTGCGCCGTGGGCGCTAGTGGATGGCATGGTCGCACACGCCGGCCGCCTGTACATCCCGCCGGCGTCGCCGCTGCTGCAGGAGATTGTGGCCGCCGTCCACAATGACGGTCACGAGGGGATCCACCGCACCCTCCATCGGCTCCGACGCGACTTTCATTTTCCCAACATGCGTGCTTTGGTGCAGGAGTTCGTCAAGGCCTGCGTCACCTGCCAGCAGTACAAGGCTGACCACCTTCAGCCGGCCGGCCTACTGCAGCCGCTCCCAGTGCCATCGGCGGTCTGGGCCGACCTTGGCATCGACTTCATCGAGGCGCTCCCCAAGGTCCAGGGCAAGACGGTCATCCTCTCCGTGGTGGATCGCTTCAGCAAGTACTGCCATTTTATTCCTTTGGCACATCCCTACACTGCCGAGTCCGTCGCCAACGCCTTCTTCGCCGACATCGTCCGCCTCCACGGGTTCCGCAGTCCATCACGTCGGACCGCGACCCAGTCTTCACATCGGCGTTCTGGCAGGAGCTCATGCGGCTCACCGGGACAAAGCTCTACATGTCCTCAGCCTTCCACCCACAGACGGACGGCCAGACGGAGGCCGCCAATCGGGTCATCGTCATGTACCTGCGATGTTTCACCGGCGACCGCCCCCGTCAGTGGATCCGGTGGCTGCCGTGGGCGGAGTACACCTACAACACCGCCTTTCAGTCGTCCCTGCGTGAGACCCCGTTCCGTGTGGTTTACGGCAGGGACCCGCCGACCATTCGGTCCTACGAGCAGGGCGAAGCTCGGGTCGCGGCCGTCGCTCAGGAGATGGAGGAGAGGGCCGCCTTCCTGGACGACATTCGTGTCCGTCTGGAGCAGGCTCAGGCGGTCCAGAAACGCGTCTACGATCAGCATCATCGTCGCGTCATCTTCACGATCGGGGCTGATC